GAAGCAGCTTTTGTTCTGTCGCTTAAGCTGACATTGTTTCTTTTGAAGATATATCGCTTTTATAGAAAATTTTGAAATGAACTAAGACATGGATGGTAAACAATGGATGGGTAAGTTTATTCTAATCTTGCGATTATGATATACTACTTTGATATTTTTGTTCACTAGAAGTGACAACTTGTTGTCCATCTTAGGCTTCAACACAATAACTTTTTTCGGAAAGTCCATATTTTGTCAAAAGCTTTCCTGATGTCAAAACAAAACTTTGCTGTATGCATATTTCTCTGTCTATCATATAACAAAGTATCAGACTATCAACGAAATCACCAGATGTACGGTACATGTAGTCGAGATCATGTGGATAGATGGATGTTTTTTACTTTTTTGCCAATAGCCCCTCGTTGTAGACTGTTTAAGTGACATGTGCAGATGTGCCAAGTTGTAGCTTTTTCACGTCCAAAAGTTGAGCCACCTCAGCGCGGGTAATGAAGGTACATTGCACATGTAGTTTCCCTTCGGAGAGACATTCCGAAACGTTCTTGCATGCTACGGGACAAGATGATAAATAATAGGAGTATATCATTCGATAGCCCCTGGATGTTTTTGGCAGTATTTAAATTAAATCCCCACTGTCGGTGATAAGTCTTTCAAAGATTTGTCATATTTGCGTATGCAGCGCACCCTTAGAGAGCCATGGGCGCGGCTTCAAAACATTCGCGTTGGATACGTAAGGTCAGCTTGTGTACAGTGTACATGCAGTAAAAGTCAAACGGTGTTTATTGCTATTAATTTGTGAACACTCACGAGATACTAGAATGCCCAACCAAAAAAATTAACGAAATGAAATGAGAGAAAATTAAAAATTAATATCGCCAGTTTGAGGATTTAACATAAAAAGTGCGCTTACTTCTAGTGTGGGTTTGATTGTTAGTTCTAGTTGTAGCTCTTCTATAATAAAGACGATTTGGTTTTTTGGCCTACTTTCGAACATGAAAGCGGTTACTGAACTACGCGCAGGGTACTAAGTAAAACTATAGTCGCTTTGTCCTTTTTTTAAAACTGATTTTGATTTATACGGCAGACATAAAGTGTCATTCACCAACAATGAATAGCCTTAAAACACATGGCATGAACATATGTCCCTATGCAAACTTAGCCCTAACTTTAGTTCATTACAAAATGCTCGCCATCCAAATGATCGTCAAACGACCACGATTCATTAAATTTTATTCTGTGTAATGTCCTTAATATCTTTGATTAGTACATCACAGTGCCGTATGTGGATCGAATAGCTGGAGGCATGTTTTATTCAATTATGTACTTAGTATGCCCTAGATGAAGAAGAGAGGTCATTAGTTAGATAATCAATTAAACACACACACGCTCACACACACTGTAAAATAACATAGATATCATGAAAAAGTTTAAATAACAATGGGTTGAGCCTTCATATTTAGCTTATTTTTGTAAATTATTTTTAATTCTTATTAGTAGGCCAAGTTCTCCTGGCCTTTGGCCAACGGCTTGATCACAAACAACAGGTCAGTCGGCAACGTACATGTAGTCCTACGTTCATATCAATTACACTTTGGAGGTTGGGGAGCTGAAAACATTTTCATCATATCCAAGAAATGAAAAGTAGAAAAGATGGATTGCATTAATGAATAAATAAATGAAGGAAGAAAAAAGGAATGAGTGAAAGAAAAAGAGAAAAAGTGGTAAACAAATATAAAAAGCTTTTGCTTTTGTGCACTCCTTCATACATCTTAAAGAGCATTCACATCGAGAAGAGCCGAGGTCTAGCAAGGCTGAGACCTAAATACGGCGGATCTACATGAAAGGAAGACCGCTTAATCCTTTAATGGTCTCTCTATGACATTCATTGACATTCATTGAGAGACCATTAAAGGATAACGCGGTTTTCCTTTCATGTAGGTCCGCCATATTTAGGTCTCGGCCTTGCTAGACTTTGGCTCTTGTCGATGTGAATGCTCTCTTATATACATGTATCTGCCAGAAAAAATTTGGTCGGCACCAATGATGCAAAGTTAATGGTCAATAAACAACGCTTAGGTGCATATGTATGTTATGCATAATGGACATTTTGAACACGGTAAGATTCTGTGGTCAGGTTTAATGGTAAAGCAAAGGTAAAGGGTTGGTTTTTATAGCCTCGACAAATGGGGTCAGTGGGCAAACCATCTACGGTTACATGTAGGTAGGGTTCGTCGCCTTGAGGAGCACACAATCCATGCTGCAGCATGTTTTGCTCTTGTGATTATCATTTATAATTACCATCACGGACAGTATCAGTTCTGTACGCCTACTCTCTGACCACAGGGTGCGCTAGTAGTCTGTCACAAAATTATTGTGTCGCACCCTTTGCGATTTCGAGCAATCAATAGGAACGTCTTTGAATTTGTCAGTGGTTCAGTAGCGCAAATGTCTGTCTATGTTACGTAGTGCAAGTCAAGCATGACCTCTGACTTACTGTACTCCAGATGCCCAGTTAGTTGATTCCACCCGACACCAAAATTAGCCCCCATCTGCTGCTGAGCCACCATTTAAGGCTTCGTTCACATGCAATGTCTATTTTCTAAAAATCTATTTTCTATTAGCGCTATCTTATGATCACGGTCTGTGCCCTGAATATCCCGCCGCGTAATTACTGGCAGCGCGAGCCAGTTACTTATAGTAACTTATAGTAACTGGCTCGCGCTGCCAGTAATTGCGCCGCGGGATATTCAGGGCACAGACCGTGATCATAAGACATACCGCGAATAGAAAATAGAATTTAGAAAATAGACATTGCATGTGAACGAAGACTAAGGGGCTGGTAGGAGTGGGTAGTTACATAACACCAGTCAAATTGGATGTTTTCCCACAGGAGGTCACAGTTCAATTTTGTATATTATTTTAGAAGCACCCTGATATCAGAGGGTATGTACCCCCGGTTTTACTATATATGAACTGAGAGAGCATTCAGAACAGCCGACTAACAGATCCGCGGATCAAATATGGCGACCCACTAAAAAGCTTGTCGGTTAATTCCCGAGTAGACACTGAATGGATTCCCTGCAGGGATTAGGCAAAAAAGCATTCAAGTGGGTCGGCCATATTTGATCCGCGGATCTGTTAGTCGGCTGTGCTGAATGCGCTCTGAGTGTTCAGCGAGACGGGCGGTACTATGGAAAATTGACCCACGCTCTCTCTAATCATATCTATTTATACAGATAAATGGACAAATGCGATAGACCGGAAAGTATTTTTTTCTGTACCGTTTGACTAGGTGCCCGTTTTTCATCTTTATTGGTTGCCTTCTGGTGAAAGTTGGGATCTTACTGTAAATTATCTGCAAACTGGACGATAAGTGTTTAGAGGCTGTAGAGTACCTGTATGTCTAACCATCCCGGAATGTGTTTACAGGGGGATGTAAATAATAACAAAATGGTGACCGAGTATACTAAACATAATACTAAAAATAAGAAAATATTACTCAGCGCCAATCCCGAAAAGAAAATGTGTTGAATAAAATTAAAGGGATAATAGCTCTTCGTATAAGATCTATATTTCACAATAAAAACATTGTTAACAACTCATAGAAATATAATATATTCTGTTTCACCACAAAAACGGCAGTTATAGCTATTATTCTGATATCTGAGCTTGTCATCAGACCACGTGACCTCCATAGATGGCTTTACTCTGTAATAATCTCTTAAGAGATTATAACATAAAAAAAAACTTTTTAGAAAAAAACCAGGGACTAATTTTGAATGTAGAAAAGTATGGGGAAATTGTTGTTTACTCCGGGAAAATTCATTTTTTGGCCAAAACGAACAGTTATTATAAAAGAATGGCGGGAAAGAAGGAAGGGGAGGAAATTTAATGAGCGAAAAAGGAGAACGCTTGTTAGAAACAAATTTGCATGCACTATTATTGTCGAAAAATATGACAAACGAAAGGGAATGGAAGAAAATTAACGCGGAAAAACATATTGTCCGTCGCTTTTGGATTCTTTTTAAAAGACATACTTTTTGGAATTTTTTTTTTTTT